TGAATCACAGACAGGACTTCAATGGCGGAAGCTCCTAATCACTACTAATCACATAGGAATAAATGGCGGAAACTTCTTGCTTTGCTTCGCTGGATGATGGAAGCTCCTAATCAAATAGGGCACATCACGTAGCAAGATGGCGGAAGCTTCTAACGAAAGCTTTTCACATGTAATCACGCAGAAGGCTACTAATTTGACGAAAGGAGTTGGCGAAGAGTGTTTTTGCTGCTATTTTTCAAAACGGGTAAAACAAACATTTGAGGCGTACTGTTAGATGGTCGGTTCCTATCAGGGGCGGAGCCAGGATTTGAACATAGGGGGGCAAAGAGGATCGTGCATAAAAACTAGCACAAGTATAAGTCAAACCTTGAATAACAGCATATGCTTTTGCGACTAAAGCAAGCCATAATTTTATCTGTTTAAATGGAACTCAGTATGCACCAAGCTAATCTAATAAGTCAATAGACTCAGCGACCATGAATTTTGCAGCTTATTTCTTCCCAATATTGGCAATCATGGCCGAAGAACTTTACTTTAAAAATGTGTATTGCAAGTTCCTAAGCTAAAACAAAATTTATTGGCAGGTACCTTCGTTATGAAAGCATGTTTGATAATTTCATCCATGGTGAATCGTAGAAAAATTAGATAAATTAGACTTCCAGGAGATACTCTCTTACCTTATGTCCGTATAATCCATGCTTGCATTGCAAATTCCATTATCATCTCAAGATTTAGATGTTACACCATATAACCATAGATCAACGGCAAGTCATCACCCCACTAGCGATTCAGCTTAGTACTGCACGAAATAAAGATCAGATCAGGTTTGGACTTGTATTATTAATATGCCTAGCTATATGAGAATCACCAGATCAGGTTTGGACTCACGCTTGACGTGGGAGAATTGCAGTGAGAAAATAGATGCATGGTTGGATTGATCGGCCTCAGATTTGGCGGGCAGCCGATAGGCGCGAATCGCTGCGCGAAGCACCCCACGCTTGGCAGCCGCACCTTTTCCAGCTCCCGACGGCGATGCTCGATGGAACCCTAGCACGGGCGAGACGATAACCAAATTGACTTGTCAGGTCGGGTCAATGTGGATAAATCAATGCATCAATTGTGGGCTGGGCTACTTTTGGGCTTGGGCCGTTCAACAATTAGCACGTTGACCTATTTCATCGCTAATTTCCGATCGAGTAGATCTATAATAACATCAAAAAAAGTACCGTAGTCCCCGCTCGTACCTGTTGAGGGGGGCTGATCCATCGGGGGGGTCTGGCCCCCGCTCCCCCCCCCCACTGGCTCCGCCCCTGGTTCCTGTATCAGTATCCGGACACTAGTTCGAACCAGTCCGCAGACAAATATGATGTTTGATTTGGGAGTCGGCATGCCCTCAATTTTTTTTCTTCTCTTTTGCGAAAATCAAGGGCATCACTTAGATCCATGCATGATCCTATCTTTGTCAGAAGGACGAGTAGGTTTCCATGCATGGTGTTCTATAGAAAGTGATTTTTTGAAATATATTTAACCAATTTGTGTGGTGGCTTACTAATAGGATATTTTTTTGAGTGCCTACTGGGCAGACATTATATTACTAAACATGAACAAATGGTGCAAAATCAGGACTGTCACATACGAGGGTGGGTTCTCCGTGCACAAGCTTGAAGGATGAACTAAACTAGACTCCCTAACTAGCCATCACAAAGGTCTTGGGATGCTTGTTGCCTTGGCCGCTTGGATAATATGAAAACACCGCAACACATGCATCTTTGACGACACCACTCCTTCACGTACTCGCCTGGTTACCGCAATACAGGAGGAAGCTCATACTTGGGCTAGAGCAGGTGCTAGAAGGCTAATCATAATCATCCCTGTAACCTGAAACTATGGGAGCTGT